TTTGGCGAGATACAGCACACATCAATGGTACGAGATTCTAGGGTCTTAGTCAAGGAGGCCTGCTGGCTGATTTGACATAGGGTACATACGTTGAAAGCTCTAACGTCTAGTTTGGAGCGAGGTTTCAGTGGGCCTGAGACAATATTTTGTGCACTAGAATCGTTGGCCATGGTGATACTTGAGGAGGAAGTCAAAAAAGGAAGTATAAAGTTGAAATTCGACATAGGAGGAATAATAAGAATTGAAGAGGAAGATTGATTATGGATACAGTGATCTTGAGTGCTATTAGAGGTATGAGGACGGTTATCACTTCCCGGTTGCCCACACCGTGGAAGGGTTCTTGTAGAGGTACCTGGAGAGAAAATATGATTGGAGGTGGTCTTAGTAACCTGAGGGCGTGACCGCAGTGCTCAAGGGACAGCTGCTTGAGACCGATCACATACGACCTTTTAGTGGGGAATTTTTGTGTTAGTTCCATACTTATTGGAACCTTACCACCGGAGACGGACATCTGTGGGATAAGGCGAGGTGTGTATTTTTAGGGTTGACCTCTTTAACCCAACCCTTCTTTTGTGGGAAGGCAACATTGCTGTTATGCTGGTTGTCTGAAGGAATCACCTTACTGCTGTCACACCTCTGTGCTATCAGCGGTACGACTTCGCCTTCAGACACCAGGTTTGTTGATTTTAGTCTTACCACTCTTCAAACGACCTGGCTGGCATGGTAGGACCTTGAGAAACGATTGTTCCAGCCAGCATAGCTCGGTCGGTTCATAGGCAAGCCCGACTACCGCGTCAAGGTAGCAAAAACGGTCAGGCTTCTTAGTAGTCCTACATATTTCTTCTAAACATAGATGAAACAACAGTATTCCAATACCGCCCGGTTATAGACAGTTTGTATTAGTAATTCGTTTTAGAAGTAGTTTCTATCTATATCGACTAATCAAAAGCTTGGCATTCATAAGTGCAATAAGCTTCTTTATAAATATACACTGATAAAAGTTTAGACAGCATATGTCAGTAAACCAAAACGTACGGATTTTTTCAAGTCATTTTGTCTCTAACGTTTCCTTTCCAGGCCCCTGAATACGCCAGTAGAAAAGCAATTGTTAACGACTTTCAGTACTCAGTCAATCAGCCATTACCTCTGCTTAACTTAAATTGACTTAAGATTAAGGTAGCTAATTATTTTGATGACAGTGTATAGTTATGCTAATTCTTATTTATTTACTAATTTGCACTTATTAAGTAAGTCAAAACTGAATCCAAAATTTTGTGCATTAGTCTTAAAACTTTTATTCTAATCTGTATCAGAAAATACAGGTCCATTGACCGATACTTATAAAACTGGAAACCAGTTAGCTCATGTTTTCAAGAATTACTTCGATATGTTGTATACTCACTGGTTGTTGATGACTTTCCCCTTGTTTATTCAGTTAAAGAATTCGTGAAGGCTTTGTAAAAGCACTTATTAACGATGTCTTAAACTAGTCCCTAATTTGGCACGAATTATAATAATGTAATCAAATACAAGAACTTAACATAAAGATGAATGGTCCATGACTGTTATATATTGACCGAAATTTGCATCACCTTTCCAATTCGTACTTTATCTGCCTAATGTGATTAATAAGAAAATCTATTGTTGAAAATATATTTAGGTACAAGCTATTGCATACAGCTAAAACTGACATATGAAATAATTGATTCGATTTAAATTTGGATATAAACCGTAAAAGCATTGAAAAGACAAATATATATTTTTAAGATGTTCAGATCTGTTCATAAAATCCCTCCATGATGACTACTCAGTAACGCAAAACTGAATTTTAACATTAAACAAATATTCGTGTACTAACATAGAAGAATTTTTTTGAAAATGGCAGGTAAGTTACGAAAACGGACGAGAAGTAACTTTAATGCTGTCTACATGTAACAACCTAGTATCTGCCTCTCCTATTTAACTGACTATAATCTGAACTTGTGTCATTTTATTTCGTTAATAAATTATATAGTGGAAGATATGATACGAACATAGTTTGCAAATTACCATGAAGTTAATTCTGTTTTATCTCTAAAATTCTCACTAATAAGTGGCACTGTTCTTTGATGTTTCACTCAGACTAAATATAACAACATTAAGATATGACATACAATGCAAACTAAGATTTGCTTATTCTTTGGCAAGGTACAAATACAATAAAGACATCTATTATGGCTGGAACCTGTAATAAGTTTATCAAAGATTACCTCTAAAACTGTTTTAAAGGGTATCAATAACCGAGTCACAATCGCCGAATATTGTTGAGATTTCGATTTTTCCGGGAATCGATTTAATCAAGATAAGCTGTCATACACTGAGTGACAAAGCAAAAACATTTATTTCGGAGAACTATATATACTTGTTGTTCGATTTTCCGGATACTATAATATTTGGTGTGGAAGATTAATCTGTGATGAATGTAAATATTAACAAGGATGAGGCGTAGTATAGCCCCTTGAGGTTTCTGTCATCTCATCACGGAAAAAGGAACATTTTCCCAACAACCCAAAAACATGTTATATTTTTAGTGCCTTTAAATAACAGAACCATTGGATTTGATAAGTGGATCTCCAAGTGAAGGGTGGATTTAAACAAATTCATACTAAAATTCCCATTCTTAGAAAAACATTTGTGGTAAATGTGAAGGACGATGATGATAATGAAAATCCCAACAAACACTATTTGACGTCTTTTAACACAATAGCTTGTAATGAGCTCTTGCATGACAGGTGGTGGTTGAGTAACAAACTTTTATTAAGGTGATGCTGTTCTTTTGCAAGCTTTGATGCAATAAGCACTGGTATAGGGGACCTTGATCAACAATTTTGTGTTATCATTAAGTTTAAGAATTTATTTTTTATCTAGAGTCTGTATGTATGTGTGAGTTTCAAAATATTTCGAGGGATAGGGAATTAGTCATGTTATTAAAAGTTTGCCTAAAAACCCTCCGGTTTCTTATTTCCCACAACTTTAGTGTTGTGCAACTATGGTCTATATATACAGATTTTAAGCTCATTACCTGTAGTGTTTATTCTAACTTAGAATATTTCTTGTAAATGATTTCATATCTATATATACAGCACTACTAGCCAAACCGAATTTCATTGCTACAATTTATGGAATTGATTTGCATTTATTGCAGAACGGCCTCTGTCTCTTCTTATAAACAGTAGCAATAGTTTTCTGTGGCCAGTGGGATGGAACTATATTCCGGTTTCAGAATGTACCTAATATTTCGTCTACTCATGGTGCTGATCCAGGAACACAACTCATAATGACCTGGAAAATTAACTCTCCAGGTTCTGTTGCCTTTTGTCAGTTCAGGCTAGCGATATCTCTGTCTTTAGAGCACAGTCGTAAAGTAAGAATTTCCGATGTGCCGAATTAACCATTTCTGTAATTGACGCTGCAGTTTTGCGTTTTTAGGTAGTTATATGAAACCAATTCAGCAGTCATAAGTATTTTTGATCTGTTTTAGGTATCAAAAACTATAAATCACGCAAAAATTGTATATCAGATTAAATATGCAATTTAAATCTTTGGAATTTCAGACGAAATTATTCTAAAACAACAGATACAGAGAATACAAGTACACTGATATTGATTGATATTAAAGTTCACATGATTAATATGCTTTATCATCGGGTAGAAACTAAATTTTAGTTTTTACTACGAGAAAACGAGCACAAATAAAACACTGTTTTTACTCATTATGCGGACAACTTGAATTTGAATAGTTCGTGAGTGAAAACGGGACAAAAAATAACTTTTTAAGAAATATATATGTTTGATTGAAGTTTTGTGTACTTTTGTTGGTGGAAAGTTTAATGTTTTCAAGTCACTTTTTCTTAGGAAATCAAACACCTTATTTGAGTAAGTAATAGTGGACCCATCAACAAACACCAGCCAGTAAAAACAGGATCTTCACTGAAAAACAAATTGAAAGAATCAACACTGGTCAATCCACATGCCATCCTTAAAACTGAAGGTCGAATATCGTTCTTATCAATTCAGAAGAGATGTATATAAATCGTGCATGAATAAAGGGAAACAAATTTTCACTGAAACTAACCACAAATGGTTATAAAACACCTTTGATTTACAGATATGATGAGCTAGGTCTTTGACGAAGCAGATAAAATGCATTCTTTACATCATTTCATAGCATCTGGAGTAAACCTAATGTGGTCGAAACTTATAGTTTTTGAATTGAATGTGAGTCTCAACCCTACATAAGTAAAACTAGAATATGGCCAAAATATTCTTGTGAGATAACATGCTAATTTCTTAAAATACATGAAACCATAACAGAACAAAGCAGAACAACCAAGAGCACAAAGCTTTGATACTGTTAAACCTCTTATTTACGTAACACATCGTCAATGTATCGTTCTACTGTGAATCAACAACTTCTGTCAAACAAACTGTCAGAGGCAGTGTTATTTATCATGCATCATCTGCAGAAGTAGAGTTTTGGGAGTCACACATTTTATCCCCACTAACCTTTACGATTTTCTCATCAATGCCCTGCGAGGTAAACTTCAGACGAAGTTGAATCATTTGTATGGTTCATGAAAAAGTATGTTTTTTTAGATATGTCATTTTTTATCTAGTTATTTAATATCCTGTGAGTCGTGGAAGGTTTAATTGGTGATTACATGTAGACGGTGTCTAATACCTATTTGTTAGCAGCTCATCCATAAAAATTACTCATTTGAAAACGACTTTTTGACTAATGAATAAAAACTGATTTTGTTCTGATTAAAATCACAGCATAAATTATATATCATATAGCTCTATTAAACTATAGGATTTAAAACATTTAGACAGCCAAATAGTTTCTAGATATATGAATAAGCCTGAGATATTCGGTATCGGTTTTCAGAGTACATATACAACTCTATGAAAGTACGATTTTCAATCACAATTATCCAAACCAATATTTTATGTTTACTTACGGTTTATCTGGAGATAGTTCAAAATGAAGTTTACGTATCAAAGCATAGGCCGGTATACTGCTTGTGCTTAATGCCCTGGTGGATTTAATTCTGTTTGTCATTTTGAAGTAAAATTTGCCTCACAGCAAAAACTCATACGCAGTTCGAAAATGTGGTCAAGGTATCCAATATTCAATACTTCTGCCATTGTATTGTATAAACTGGTTGTTTTCTTTGCACTCACTTCCTGTTGTTTCAGTACCTTTCCTAATATTTGATAATGTCCACTAAATATAAGTCCAGTCAATTGACTGCACCAATTTTAGTCACACTGAGAGTTGTTTGTGGATTTGCATGTCATGTGGTTTGAGTGAATTAGTTTGTCTCAGGGTATTAGGGCTTCTGGATACCAATAGCCATCATGATGCCAAACAGGAGGTTGGTTAGTTTCAATATTGAAATAATTAAGTGACTGCTCAAATGCTAATAGAAAACAATGGTTTCAAGAATGAATTGATAAGACAACTAATTGGTAACCCCGGCACTGTGAGAAGGTCAAGGTTGTAAGAATAATAGAAGAAACGGCGATGATAGTAAGAGTGACAGGACTTATATGCTGATGTGCGGTAATGGCGACCGTGCCAAATGGTGACACATGAATCAGAGTGGAGTGATAAACCATGACTTTATCTTAGTAGAGGAGCTCATCAATAGGAAGTAGTAATAATAGTAAAACCATGTTTAACGTGGCGAAAAACACGATATGTTGGAGGGAAAAGGACATTTGCCACCCTAGTTACAATAGAACAGACTACACCAGAGTGGCGGAGGTTAACAATGGATAACTACTAGGAAATGGTGGGGGTCGTCGTACAGAATGTTAGGCTCAAGATAAGCATACATCCGGAAAGCGAAGATTCTAAGTCCCTCCAAAGAATTCGAATCGTAGTTTTTGTTCAGCGTTTTGGTACGAATAAATACCGTGGAATTTCTGAGGCACTAAAGTTTATCCATAAGCAATTGTAGCGGTAAATAAATCCCCAAAATAAATAGCTCTAAGTTTTCGACATTGGATGCTGACCATATGTTTTAGTGGACTCATCTAGCTGAAGGCGCTCGGTCATGCATCCGCACCAGATCACGTGTGGTAACGCTGTGCTCAACATCAACCGCAATCGCTAGCCAGATTAGATCAGAGAATTCCGGTATATTGGTCATCGCCAAAAATACTCTTCCGATCTCCTCGACTCTGGGTGGGAACGAAATATATTAGAAGGTGTTACTGGTTTAGGCGTTGACAAACACTGAATACCTGTGAAATCATCATTGGTGAGACCGACGTGATCTGGTACACCTAATTGCAACTGTGAGTCTGTTCCTTTTTGGGATTTTTATATATCATTGCCTTATTTTTTTATTTTTTTTGAACATTGTGATTTTTTTTCGTGTTTTTTCTTGGATATATATATATTTTCCCCTCGTTCATTATCGTACTTCATACTTCATCATGACTGAACAGACACCTAAAGTACTCAAGCTTAAGACTTTGTCCCCGCCTTCGTTTCAACTGATGCCTTTCTGGCCCGACAACATCGAAGCCTGGTTTTGCTACGCAGAAGCCGACTTCTCCGAGCACGGCGTGATCGACACACGTGCACAATTCCTCGCAGTAGTCAAGGCACTACCGCGCGAATTCAACAGGTACGTAACACCTAGTATGTTTACTAGTGATGTTTCCGATCCTTACGAAATCTTAAAACGCTCGATTCTTAAACGAGGAGACCTAACCGATCGACAAAGGTTAGATCAACTCTTCAATAACATCGACCTGCAACACGATTCTGCGACGGACATGTTGCAACGGATGAGAGAGGTAATAGGCCCAAGAACTTTCGATGAAGGTCTATTCAAACAACTCTTCTTGTCAAAACTTCCCCAACAGGTGCAAGCAGTTCTCGTCTCGTTCCAGAACAACGCCTTAGACGAGCTAGCTGCATCTGCCGACCGCACTTTAGAAATTACGAAATCTTCTACCACCGAGGTATTTTCAGTCAAAGAAAAACCTCAAACGACTCAGAATGATATAAACGACTTATGTCACACACTCACGCGTTATCTTAGTCTTCGTACCGACCGTAAGAGATCGCGCACTCTACGTAGAAGCATTTCACGTAAGCGGTCTGTCTCTAGACAACGAGAGACAGATAACCCCGACTGGTGCTGGTATCATAACCAGTATGGAAAGTTTTCTAGAAATTGCAGAAAACCCTTCAATTTTCCCAACACGAAACCGAGTGACTCGAAAAACAACTCGGGAAACTTCCAAGCCGGCACGCGTTAACAGCAACCGTAGCCGGCGAACATAGCCGTCTGTTATACGTCACAGATGTGACAACGAGAGTTCGCTACCTCGTCAACATTGGCGCAGACGTTAGCGTTCTCCCAGCAAATCCTAACGACCGGCTTCACAAATCGACCCTAAACTTACAGGCGGCAAACGGAAAACCGATCGCTACGTATGGCAAAAGGTACATTTACCTTAACGTGGGTTTACGCAAACCCATTCACTGGATTTTCGTTGTTGCAGATGTTTCTATGCCAATCATTGGTATGGATCTTCTACAACATCATAACCTGGTCATCGACACGCGCAAACGGAGGCTAGTAGACGGAAACACTAATTTATCCGTTTGCGTAACTTCTTTTACTGGTTGCAAATTATCCCCAGTCACAATTAAACATTATCGACGCAATGTCTTCAATACATTGCACAAACTTTCTCATCCAGGTGTTCGTGCAACCATCAAGCTTATAGCAGAAAGGTTTTGCTGGCCTGGAATGAATAAAGACGTGAGGGAGTGGGCACGCTCCTGTGTAAGCTGCCAAAAATCTAAGGTTATCAGACACAATAAATGTCCCCTAGGCTCGTTTAAAACTCCCGATGCTCGTTTCGACCATGTTCATCTGGATTTGTTAGGACCTTTACCAGATTCAAATGGATACTCTTACCTCTTAACCTGCGTAGACCGTTTCACTCGATGGCCAGAAGCAGTACCTATCAAGGACATCACTGCTGAAACAGTGGCTCGCGCCTTCGTCGAACGATGGGTAGCAAACTTCGGTTGCCCTTCAACCATCACCACAGACCGCGGACGTCAGTTTGAATTTGATCTTTTCCGTCGTCTGACCACTCTTTTAGGAATCACTCGATTCCGAACGACCGCCTACCATCCACAAGCAAACGGGTTGGTAGAACGCTTTCACCGACAACTAAAAGCTTCACTATCAGCTGCAAACGTTTCATAGTGGACCGACGCTCTTCCACTTGTTTTAAAAGGTATTCGCAATGCAGTGAAAGCTGACATTGGATACACTGCGGCTCAACTCGTTTATGGAACGACACTTCGACTTCCAGGAGAATTCGTGGATCCTTCATCCTCTTCAATGAACATGGATCTAACCTCCTACACGAACAGGCTTACAAACGCAATGCGTTCAGTTAAACCTGCTTCCACTCGACCTCAATCAACTGATGTTTTCGTTCAACCTGACTTACGATATAGTACACACGTTTTCGTTCGTCGAGACTCGCATCGACGACCCATCGAATCAGCATACGAAGGACCTTTCAAAGTTCTTCAACACGAACCGAAGTACTATATAATCGATAAGAACGGAACAAACGATAGCATCAGCATTGATCGCCTCAAAGCAGCGTATTTAGAAGGAAATCCTATCTACGTCGATTTTCCTTCGTTACAATCGAACGACACGACTCCGACACTTATAACAACTCATCCGACAACCAACACTAGCGATGATACTCCGAATGTATCTGAAAATAAACCTAAAACGACGCGTTCTGGAAGAAGAGTAAGATTTCCAGAACATTTAAACGACTACTGCACGTAAAGCACTACTCGACATTTAATATTATCTCGATCTTTCTTTTTACGATATATAATTTTTTTTAAAGAAATTTTATTATGCCCATATATTTATATTTTTATTTAAAAAAAAACAAGATAAAAAAACATTTGTTAACGCTATTACGTGTTCATGAGTTTATTTTCCATTTTTTTTCCGCCGACATTGTGTTTTTACGCACATACGAGTGTATTTCGACATGCACTTACACTTTCTTCTTTCTTTTCCAGGATGATTGGAAAAGAACGATGCAGTTCACGAGGAGTCGAAATTTTCGTTGTAACTTTCTTTTTTTACTATGTTGTACCTCGGTCCCATATAGTAAGGAAAGACGACCAGACGCTGCTACACTTAGTAAGCTATCAGAAGAGTGTTTACCAACGACAAACTCGTTGGGTTTAAACTTCTGGCTGGTCACGTCTTAGGGTCGTCACTGCCCCACTAGGGGGGGAGTGATCTGTAGCGGTAAATAAATCCCCAAAATAAATAGCTCTAAGTTTTCGACACTGGATGCTGACCATATGTTTTAGTGGACTCATCTAGCTGAAGGCGCTCGGTCATGCATCCGCACCAGATCACGTGTGGTAACGCTGTGCTCAACATCAACCGCAATCGCTAGCCAGATTAGATCAGAGAATTCCGGTATATTGGTCATCGCCAAAAATACTCTTCCGATCTCCTCGACTCTGTCTTTTGAGTTCTCTGGGTGGGAACGAAATATATTAGGTGTTACTGGTTTAGGCGTTGACAAACACTGAATACCTGTGACATCATCACAATCTTTGTTAGAGAATTTTTATTGAAAGGCAAATAATGTAACCGACGAATTTATGTATGATTAAGAAGATACTAAAATATACCGAGTCAATCACTGAAGAAGACATTCCGTTAGAACATTAGTGGAAAGAATATGAAAACGCACCAAAGCCGTCGTTCTCGCTGTCATGGGGAAGTAATGTGAAAGTTCACCCATTAGTTGTTCTATATTGAACATGTCGCTAAATTAACTAGATTTCTCTTAACCGTCTTTCTTTCGACTAACCACAATTTTCTCTTATGTCCCGTGAATGCAGTCGATCACATTCGAAAACGATGTAGGATTAAAGGCATTTATGGTCTAGAGGTAACATTATAGTTTACAATTAGATTAGTAACAGACAAATGCTCGAGGTACGATTGTTACGCATTTAATTGT